TTTTAAAATGAAAAATAAAATTAAAACAGGAAAAGAAAAGCAAATGAGAAAAGAAAGAAGAGAAACTGGATAAAAACCGTAAATAAAAGAAAAACAGAAGCTTCTGGAAGCTCCCCAAAACCGTCTAGGAGCTTCATAGAAATGTGCGTACATGGGTTGGCCCAAGAAATCTAGCGGAGGGATGGGATTGTGCATTATGTATGGTTTTGCCTTTAATGAACGCTAATGAATGAAGGCTTCCCCCATGTTCCCCACCCCCTTTATATAGGTGGGGGAGCGCTTGCATGGGCCTGACAACGTGTTTGGTTTGGGGGAATTAGAGATGGGGAATGAGAGTTGAGGGGTGAAGAGATTAAAAGTCCACTGTTTAATTAGAGGGAATGGGAGTTTAAGTGGGAAGGGGAATGGAAGTTGAGGAAGCCAATTCTCACCGATTTCTTTCCAGGGGTATCCTATTAATTCGTGAGCAGAGTTTTATCGCACGCCAATTCTCATCATATGTCAAACAAGGGAATGGGAGTAAAAATCTATTTCCCATGCCTAATACCTTCATAAACACCCTTGTGCAAACTCCCATTTCCCTACCCGAGTGTTTACCAAACATGTTGTTAAGGAATGGGAATTAGGGGGTTGTAGGACTTAAATTCCCTTGAAGGGCAGTAGAGGGTGGCGTTCCCTGTGTCGTACCACTGGCCGAAGGGACGACTTATGATCATTCCAGTCCAAGAAGCAAAATTGTTCGCCGGTTAGAGGGGACGCCTCGGATTTCATGCCTGGCGGCTGACGTTTCGACAACCTGCCCAACTGTTCTTTGGCCCGCTCTTCTGCTACCATCAGCGGTGTAAGTGCAGGGGTCCCCAGTCCCCACCCCATGCAGATTGGTCAGGTCGTGAATGCACCCCGGCAACATTCGTTGGGCAAGTTGGGATGGGGGCTCTGCGGGCGAGCCCGGATAGCCATGCCCCCAGCAACTCGCCCCGAGGATGTTGTTTGCCCTCGAAGACATCGGGCTCCCCCTCATGTCTTCGAAGCGAATGACCAACTCCTGGCGACATCATACAGATGCAACCTCCATCATGGGGAAGCGTTGTGAAGACGGAGGAGACATGACTGCTCGCCCATCCCTGTCCGGCCGGGCACGCCATGGGCCTGATGGGACAAGATGGGATGACAAAGGCAACGAGCCTCAACAGGCGAACGACATGGTCGAGGACGGCGAGGCCTTGTCAGATCGGTTGACATGGGAAGTCCTGGCACCCCAGGGCATGGTGACGTGACGGTACAGGGGTGTTCACCTACTACGTCCCATCCCCTCGGGTTGCGAGGGTCAACCCCTGATGGTCGTAAGAAGATACTCCCCCTGGCGCCATATAAAGGGAGGGAGAGATCATTTTTAAGAGTTAGAAGAAATCGATATATGAAGAACACCAAATCAGAAATAGGGTATACAACATCATAATGGTCTGAACCTGGGTAAAGTCCTTTGTCGCATGTGTAGAGTGTTTGGAGTGTCTTAACCCCTCGCCGAACATTCTAGGAGTTGCATCGTAGCTCTGTTATCAACGATCATCTATTGATATGAATAATCTCATGAATTGTGACCAGATTTTCAAGGATATATCTGCCTCTAATGAAGGCAGTTTGGTTTCCATCAATAAGCCTATTGAAGCACTTATCCAGTTTGTTAGTAATTTGAAGTCACAGTTAGTGAGGGCCACTAGCTACGTGTTACCAAAAGGCATGTGCCTCGTACATCCCATGGAAAATATAGGGGGGTACTCACCACACAAAGTCTTGAGAATAAACTGGATCATGAGTGCAAAAATATTGAATTTTCATTTTTACTAGCCCGTCCAGGTTTGGCACTGTAGCTCCCCACCGGTGAGGGCAATAGGTTGGAACCTTAGAGTTTTGGCCTCTCCTCTGGGAATTTAGGAGATCTCCAACGTCGACCCTCAAGCCTTACACAACCATTCGGGTTGCGCTGTCCGGACCGCGGATGCCATCCACCGCCGACCAGACCCGGTCCGCGGGGCAGTCTAGATGCGATTTCTCTTGCAAACCAGATACAAAAGTGGGGAAGGTTTGCGGGAGTTCGGACCGCTCCCAAGCCCGCTTCTGACCGCCCTGGCTCACCAAAAAAACCTTCCCCTCCCGTGCACGCACCCCGCCTAGCGCCAGCTGCCCGCATTAATGCTGATGTAGAGCGCGTTGCTCCGCATTGAAGGCGGCTTAGGGCGGACACGACCTTTTACTACCTCCGCCATTGAAGCGGTTCGCCGGCTGAGGGTGCCGCCTGCTACCCGTCCAGCTGAACAGGCCTCCTCGCCGCATTCATACGCCTCCATTAAACCCGCCTGGAAGTCGAGAAACTTACTTCGGCCACACGTCCGTTCATGAGCGGGCCGACATTTAAACGCAATGCCAGTTGAGCTTCTCCTGTCCACCCTCTATTTAAACGAGGCCAGACGCCCATCAAGAATCGCACCCCTCTGTCGCTCCCCCATCTCCTCCTTCACCACTCTTCTGATGCCTTTCGAAGAGCAGTTTGTCGGCACACAAACCGGCTGGTGGCCCACCGAGCCGGCCGGATACGAGCGAGGCAACTCGCTACTCTACCTCCCGTGCCGGACTCGACGGAGCAAATTGTCGCCCCAAGCCGGCGTGTGGTTTAGCAACTTGCCGCTCCAGGCCCACTCGATGAGAAGTGGCGAGTTGCTCCACGCCAGCATGCGGGGAGCACGATGGCACGAGCGTCATGGCTGCCTTCGACGACGCTGCATCATACCGCGCCACCCCGTGCCTGCGACTGCGCCTCCCGTGCCTGTGACCGTGCCTCCCATGCCTGCGACTATGCCATGCAGGTAGAGACATAAGCCGAGTGCACGGAGCGCGACGAGTCGGTGGCCGGCGCCTCCGCTTCCGCCGCCATCATCGAGGAGGAGTATAACACGGAAGTCCGCCGCTTGGGCCCCATGAAGGCCACAGCCAATGCGACGCCGACATACACAGCCGACGTCTAGCCTGGTTTTTCTCTTGCAAGGACCTCTGTCGATCCCACATGGGCTCCACGAAAGCGGAGGCGCCGCCTTCCCCTCCCGTTGAAGCATCAGCCGAGGGTTCCACTTCGATGAGTGATGGGGAAGCGAGCCGTCCTTTGTGTTGAAGCATATACCTCCGAGACTCCCGGCAGTCCGGTGATCTGGCTGCCGGACATGAGGAAAACAAAGGGATCCGCGGGCGGCGATTTTGATTAGGTATTATTATACCTCTAGAGCCGGACTAGCACCGCTTAGCTGATGTAAATGTACTGAAATCCGTCATGTTGAAAATCCGGCATCCTATATAACTAAGAGATTCATCCCCACTAACTTATTTATCTCAACATGGAAGCATGCCACATCATCATACAATTATGAATGAGATAAGACCCACCTCATCATGCAACCATGCATGGGAAAAAACCAACCACCACATGCAACCATGCATGGAAAAAAATTCATTCTATTATTCTACTTATATTCAACAAATATTTTACAACTGTACCTAATAAAATATACTAAGTTGTATACATTTTTTTTATTTTGGTTCACATGTTACTAATCCAAATATTTATATTCCACACAATCAAATATCATCTAAATATACTGCAACCGATTCCCGCAACAACGTGCGGGTTATCATCTAGTTTTTATATAAAATCCGTCATGTTTATATGAAATCCGGCCATGTTTGCATGAATTTCATCCGGTTGTTCGGGTTGCTGTAAAAATATATGCGGATACGGTTGGATGATGTCCTTTCGCATCCATGCCCTGTCCGCGAACGGATGCGAGAGAATTTTTGCGGTTTGCCGTTAGAGATGCCCTTGGGGTGATGAGACTGGAATTTAATTTATAAGGAAACAGGGTCATTGTCAAAATCTCAAAAGAGATTGAGCAAGTCCTGCTTAATAGTATCCCAAAAAATTGATAGGAAAAGAAGAAGATGTACTAAGCCCATGCTTATCGCAACTGCATAATATATTAACCATTTAAGAGGAGCTCCAGCAAGACTTGGTCCCTTCCATTGGATATTGCGTTTCATGTGTTCACCTAATAGCTTAGCTCAGCGCTCATCTTTGTGTTTTGAGGGCAATAAAATAACCACTACAATCTGCTGAACAGTCGGGAACATAAACAGATTATATATAAAAAATAAATGTTAAAGGGACATGTGTTGGCCAAATAAATTGCGGGTGTTGCCATAGATTTGGATGGAGGACGACTCTGCAGAGAGCCAACTGATTTGGCGGCAGACAATTGTGTTATGCAACCGTGGGCGCAATTGACAGGTGAGCATGCGGTTGCTGGTCGGTTTCAGTGGTGCAACAGCTCAAGGATGTGCCACCCTACTTATTAAAGATCGCACACCATTCACCGGCTAATTCAAACATGTCCATGTCTGTGATGTCGTTAGTGCTACTTGTATACGCAGTAAAGGAGAAAATTCAAGCGTTCCGAACGGTGGAAGGAGGAAATTCTTGTGGCACACGTAGCACTGGTGGAACTGAGTCACACTGGAAAAAATCTCGGGGGAACGTATAGCGGACGCCACTGGCTTGGGATGATGGTCTGGCGTTTAGGCGTGTGTGTGGCTCGGCAGCCCAGCTCATCCTCTGCAAGTTTTAGCACCAGTAGCGCTCTGCAAAACTGACCAAGTTGGTTGGCTAGATGCCTGGATGGACACATTCCTTGCTCGTAAAAATTCTTTCAGCACAACAATTCCTTGGAAATTCATCCGCCCGAAGTCACGAGATATTCAGGCGCAGATATTCATCGCGACAAGGCTCGATTCAGTAACAGCAAGAGGCCGGCAGGAATCATTACCAATTCACTTGCTATATTCTATCAAACCCCTATTCGGTTCTGTTCTATAACACACTGTATTACAAGTACTACTATTTCTAACTCAAGAAAACAAAATCGAGCGCCGCGGCCGCGGATCGCGAGCTGAGCCGATCACCGCGTGCTCGCCCGTGGCCGGAGTGGCGTGGCGGAGGCGGTGGCGATCCGCACGGGCGCCCGGCGTCCGGTCCCGGACCCGCCGCAGCTCCGGCAAGGCATCCTCCGGGTGCCCGCGCAGGTCCGGCAGCCTGAGCCGTCCCCGTCGGACCACCGGGAGCACAGGCACTCCACCCTTCCCGTCCCGCTGCATGTGGCGCACCGCGGCTTCTGCAGCAGCGGCCACCGCACCGCCGCCGCGGGCCTCCCCTCCTGCATGGACCTGTTGGCCATGGCCACCCCCGCCAACATCCCCAGCCCCGCCGACGCCACCGCGATCGGGGCCACCATCTCCGGCGCGTGCTAGATCCTCCTCGTGAAAATCCCGACAGATCGGAGAGAGAGAGAGAGAGAGAGAGAGGTTGGCGATTGGTGAACGAAGCACGCTAGGAAGGCAGTAAGCGAGCGAGAGGGAGACCGAGATTTATAGAGGGGTGTGTCCGGCCGCCTCGTCAATCAGCGCGGTCACGGTGGGTGGGGTAAGCAAAATTGATTAGTGGGAGAGTGGTGATTAATTAGAGAGCGATTATTGGAGTGGGGGAGGCAAAGTCGGCAGCGTCGCTTTCCTCCCTTTATTACTGTGGTCGCCTTGCCTAGCCGCCCCTGCTGGTCTGCACTCTGCACTGCACTGGCTACCATTTTGCCCGGAAATTTCCTAACAATCGCATCATTATTCCTCAAGATAAACTTGGATCGATCGTGGAGGAACACTTTTTAAAGCTGATGGCTACGTTACAAGCAATTTTCCATCTACGAAACAACTTCTAGGATGCTTTGTTGCAAATTGTACAAAGGTGACATGCCTATTTTCAACATTGTGAGTTGGACATAATTAATGAGAAATGTAGAATGCCAAGTATTGTATTTTTCATTTTGCCAAACATGCGTTGACTAAAAGTGTTTTTTTTTTCAAAAAGGAGGATGATCCCGACTTCTGCATTAAGTGATGCACG